TTCTCTGCCGCTGCCGCTGCCGCTGCTTTTGGTGTCACTGCCGGTTTTTTGTGGGGGCGGGCAGCAGCATAGCTGGTTAGCATACCCTGAGCCCTAAGTGCCGTTACACATGCACATCACATGCCTACACATACATACATGCATTTATTTTATATGCCACCTCTTCTTCTTCTTCTCCGGCTTCATCGTCTTCTTGTTCATCATTTTCATTTCTACTTTGCCGCATGCCGCTGCTCTTTTGAACTGCCACCAAATTAGCTGCTCATCCAAGCAATTAACCAGCGCCACATAAAACCGAGCTAAAATTAACGAGCGCCTCAACACAACTGAGTTTCCAATGGGGAAAATAAACCCCATTATTTCTTAACATTTTTCCGCTCACTAACCTGTGCCTTGGGGCCAGCAAGTTAACAAATATCAATAAAATGTAGTTGTTAGAATTTTCAAAAATTGTAAGCCCAATATATTTTCATTTTAAATGTAGTATTCATTTCTAAATTAAAGAAATATTGCTTTATACATACATATAAACAGAGATCACACGATTCGATTACTTCCTATATACAAATTTTGTTACAGAATTGAAATTCTGAGCAGCGATATAAAATACATATTGTACATATGTCGAACAATTTTAAATATAGCTATCACAGGTGGAAATGTTTCTGTTCCCCACAAAAGGGCTGAATTGTACTCAATTTCTGGGGAAAATTTGTTCACAGAAACACTCCGTCAGAACTAACACACATATAAATGTAACTGAATTGTTGCTAAGAAGGAAAAGCTCCGGAAATAGACATTTCTAAGATAATTTTATAAGAATGACAATAACTTATTAATTTTTCAACTTTTTTCACAATAATTTTTCAGCTTAAGTAGAACTGCTTACCCCTCACAATGCAGAATATGCAGCAGAGTTGATGTTTTGAATAGAGAATGATACTTTTTAACACTTTACAATTACCTTTAAATATTTTATTTGCTAAACTCATTTATTCTCGACTTTTTCTTTGACTTTGTGGTTTTAAGAAGTATTTCTTATGTTCTAACCCTATCGTTTAACTATTATCTCTACAAAATAGAGATATACTATATTATACAACATATATATTATACAACATATATATTACTAATTAAAACACTCGAGCTGCTTTATCAAGAGTAAACAAAATCGAGCTATAACCGCCATCAACCTAAACAATAAATTTTAAAAATTGGAAGCAAAATAATAATGATATAGTCGTACTTCTACACATATATCAAGAGCCAAAAATTATGTTTCTGGGAGAGGGGTACCAAGTGGCAAGTATAATAAAATCCAATTAAAATCCAAAGAAAACAATGTTTACGAGTCGTTTTCTGACAGCACGAGAAACCGAGAGAGAGGGAGGGAGGGAGGGAGGTAGGGAGAGTGGGATGGAAGTAGAGGTGGGGTTGGGTTGGGTAAAGGGCTCAGTGTCGAGCTGCTCGACGATTTCGTTGAGTTATGTTAATGGCTTCTCTGCGCCCACAAAACGGACTATGGCTTGTACGCACGGCGCTTTAATGTCTGCATCTTGTTTGAATGGATAATGAAATGCATTTTTCAACAGCTGCAACTAAAGTGGAGGTTGGGGAGTGAGTTAATGCAACGACTGGTGTATAATATAACAGTGGTCACAATCGGAAGCAGTCATCGTCAGACCCAACATAAATAGAGCATAAATACGGCATAGAGGTTAGTCTAAACAAAAAGTCACTTGGAAAGTATTATTAATTAAATTTTATATATGAGGGTTAGCTTCGGTAGAGAGAGGTGGGAAAGAAAGTTCCTTAAGGAGAATGAATAGTTTGGTCAAATCAACCTAAAATTACAATATATTCAGCTATAGGATTCGAGAATAGCGCTTGTTTGAAGACAATTATGATATTTAAACTTTTGTACCAGCTACAGAGATATACTTGTATATTCCTATATTTTCACGAAATGCTCAAAACATGGAAAGATTACTATACATTTCTTCGAACCCATGCAAATATTCTTGCAAACGGCGTTTCTGCTGAAACGGCGCATAAAAGGAGGATTTACAATGAGCCTTCTTCTTTATGAGAAGGTCACACCCTATTGACCTTGCCAATAGGTTTATAAAAATTATAAATAATATGAAATGTAAATAAGACTAAACTCATATTTTAAGCTGAAATTATATTTTGCTATAAGTTTAGCTTAAGTTTTTGAAATATTAAAAGTATAATTAAAAACTTTATAAGCACTTTCAATTCTCTTTCAGCTTATAAATAAAACAAAAACTCGCTTGAAAAACAGTTGTCTTAACAATTTAAATTTGTATAATGATGAATAATATTAGATTTGTAGTGAAGGATAATGATAATGAAAAATGTGAAATTTAATCAGAAATCTTAAGCTTGTTTGCTGTCGCTTAATTCAATAAGAATACTTTTCACATCGTTTCAAATAAATCAGGCATAAAGTAAGATTTATTTTCTATATATAAAATCATTGCCCATTTCTTTCAGTTTCGAAATTCCCTTCAGAAAATGTATGCTTCATTAATAACATTTTTGGAATATGTGCTGGAACATCCAATCCAATCTTTCCATTTCTTTATTCGACATTTCTCCGCCTTCTTGTTATATTTCTTAAATAAATACGAAATAGTCTACGACTCTAGAAGTTGACATTAGCAATTTGTTAGCCTTAGTGACTCACTTGGAAGTTTCAGTGTGGAAGTCAAGACAGCCAGTAGCGAAAACAAGTAACGCCAACGACAACAACAACGAGCAACTAACACCACATAATTCAAGCCCACAAACGACAAACAGCTGAGCCAAAACAGCAACGTCTACAGCTTGACCCCCGCCTTACCCATTTGGCCAGAATTCTCCATGTTACCGCTTGCCAGCCAAGTGTCAGCGTAAATCTTAAAATTCACGAAGCAGAAAGTGTGTGTTGTTGTTGCTGTTATTGCTTGTGGTTGTGCTTTTGTGAAATTGACTTGGGCAGCAGCTAGCAGCTGGAGACAGCTGGGAGAGTGGGAGAGAGGGAGAGCAGCATTGGGATCACTGCAGATAGTATTTATTATAGTGGGTGTCCCTGTCCCTCGACTGTGTTGCCCCCCAGGCTTAGGCGGACTACACTTTATTATTTATTGCTGGCCGTCGCGTTGAGTACGAATTCATTTTATTTATGAAGCGAGGCGGCCAAATGGCCAAGCAGCCAACTGTGTGGCGCTCTTACACGCTCTGCCAGTGTGTTGGTGGGGCTCTAAGGGGTCTGCCTCTCAGAGCGCAACTGGAACTCCGTCTGCACGCCTCAAAGCATGCAACACGAGTCGACGAAACGACGAGCCGCCAGCAAAGGCCACCAGCAAAAACATTGTAACAAACTACACAGCAATTTTCGTGTCGGCTAATTAGCTTTGGTGTATTGTTTATAAATTTATGACGCATGTTAAATGGGTTTAATTTATTTATGAGCAATAGCACTTTGACCACAGCAGCACTCGACTTGCCCCTCTCCCACCCGTCAGTTGCTGGGGAATGGAGCTTTGGCCAATTGAATTTGCGTTTCGTGAATTATGTTTATGAGTTGGGCAAAGGGCGTGCTTGTGTGTGTGTGTGTGTGTGTTTGTGTGGGTGTTGAGAACAGTTGCTCTGCGGCTAATTAGGCTGACTTTGTTGTTGTTGTTATTGGATTTTGTGAGCAGTCAAGTGTGGATTTTTTGTACATATTGCTGCTTTGATACATTTTTATTTTAATATGTGTGTTGGCCTAAGGGGACACTCGCTTTCTCCATGCTTTAGCTTTCTAATCAAATTCTATGGAAAGAAAAAGTAATCCGAATGTTGCCTAACCTTGGCACGACTTGTGTATAATCTATAGGAATAAGTATTTAAAAGTATAAAGTATATTTCAAACCAGAATAGAGAAAAAGTTATCCTAATACAGCTACATAGGTACAACAAGCTTGGTACACCTTGTGTATAATTTATAGGAGGTTAAAGCTTATTACAAACCAAAACCGAGGTAAGGTAATCCGAATATTGCTTGATATTTTCCCAGCTACATAGATACAACAAACCTGGTACGTCTTGTGTATAATCTATAGAAAGATAAAGCTTATTTGAAATCAAAACTGGGAAAAAGTTATCCGAATATTGATTGATATTTTCCCAGCTAAATAGGTACCACAAACTAGGTACACCTTGTGTATAATTTATAGGAGGTTAAAGCTTATTACAAACCAAAACAAACAAAAAATAGTTATCCAAATGTTGCTTTATATTTTAGGTACACAAGTCTTGGTACAAAAAACAAAAGCTGAGGACTGTTTTTTAGTTAGTTATAATAAGTAGGTTCGATTGCTGGATATGATTAAGTATGTTAATAAAAAATCGTAAGATTTATACTTGTATTGTATATGTCAGCAACTACTGTAAGCTACGTATATGTAAATACCAAATAATATTTATTAGTACAAGTTAATATACAAATGATGTAATTATATACCCTATATGGCATACCTTAGAATGCAAAGGACATCTGGCAATGCACATGTTTGATAGAAAAGTGGTAAGAAAGAGTATGTATGCAGTTTTGTAAAGAAAAGACCGTTGATTAAAATAAGGCTTATCGCTATTTAATAGACACTGTTTAATATACAATACATATATTATTGTATTGGGAATTATTAGTAACTGGAATTCATTTCAACTCCACCTGCATAAAGGATATCTGTACGTTTTCAGAAACAGCACTCGAATAGGCTTTTAAAGCTTAGCTTAACACCAAATGCTTAAATTATAAAGTTTATAGTACAACTTAATTTGTTTAAAGACAACAAATACGCACGCCAAGCAATATTTTCTAGTGCCAACAAGTTTAAGAATCGGCCTGGATATTATTTGTAAGCAGCAATTTCGGAAGTCCAATCTCTTAAATACTATAAGTCAGGTGTTATGTGCTTTGTAAGTGATCCTGGCGTTTTATTTCTCTAACAAAATTAAAATAACTATTTCCACCATTTTTATTCGTATTTATATTTTTGCAAAATGTTTCGTCGTTTGAATCTTGCAAGAACAAAATCATGGAGCCTTTTCAAGTAAGACCGATGTGAAAGCCGCCAATTTCTCTGTTTTGCAAACTAATCATTTAGTTCTTAGAACATTTTGTAGAGGAAACTCCAGTGTTTGTGAGCAATTGGAATCGGGCCACTGTTCCGGCACCATGGCAGATGGTAAGTTTTGGAAATATACGCTTTAATCTCTCACAAAGTCCGTTTCCTATAGTTATTGAAAAGATTTCAAAACAAATTGGCCTGGAGCCGGGCTATCACACCATACCCAAGTCCCGCGAAAACCTGCTCGCTTTCCAGCCCAAGCATGAAGAGTTGCCAACGCGCAGCATGCAGGACTCGTATACAACGGCTCTGATACCACTGGGAGATGACGAGTTAGCCCGAGAGCGTTATGTCAATCACTTGGGCCGGTTGAGGTTTGGGCGTCTGTTGGAGGAACTCGATATGTTTGCAGTGTGGATTTGCCATCGACACCTGAAGATACCGACGCTGCCCGAAGAGGTGCCATTGCCGTACACATTTGTCACCCTGCTCGTCGACACCATCGAGTTTATGAACCACGACCACATCAGGGCGGACATTGACATTCAACTGTCCGGCCATGTGTCCTGGACTGGTCGCAGTTCCCTTGATATACCAATATATGTGAGACAGAAGGACGTCTTTGGCGTGGAACGAACCATTACCAGGGCCATCTTTATGATGGTTGCCCGCAATGCCACAAACACGGGCTCCGCGCCAGTAAATCCCCTAAAGCCAGCCAATGAGCTGGAGCAGGAGTGTTGGAAGGAAGCGGTTGAGCGACAAAAACAGCGGCGCACCAAACACGCAAAGTCCGTGTTCCTGGTCGAGCCCACAAAGAACGAGGAGCAACTCATGTATGATCTGTTTAAGCGTACGAATCACGACGATATTCTAGAGTTTGGCAAACGCACGTTGCCGGCCAAATGTCGCTGGATGGATGACAGCTACCAGACCACAATAATACATCCATTTCCAGAGAACCGCAATGCTCAGAATACCATCTTTGGAGGTTTTATCATGCGGAATGCTGTCGAGAATAGTTTCATAACGGCCAGCATTTACGTTCGCGGACGTCCTATTCTTGAATATATATCGGACATTAGCTTTATGGCACCCGTAAAAGTGAATTCTTTCTTGCGAATGACTGCCTATGTGGTCTATACGGCAGAGAATTATGTACAATTAATGACAGTTGCCCACATCATTGATGGGGCGACATTTGTGGAAACTGCGACCAATGCGTTCTACCTCACCTATTCGTCGGATACTAAGGTGGAAGAGGTCCTGCCACGCTCCTATCAAGAGACCTTGTGGTACATTCATGGACGACGTAAACTCTTGGCCGTGAAGAATGTGGATGGCTATGGGAAGGAGCCCCCACAGGTAGATCCCAAAGCGGATAAGGCTAAAGTGAAAGCAAAAGCTGAACCAAAACAACAAAAACAATAATGAAGCTACAAAAATATTAACAATCAAAATATCAAGTTCGTTAAAAGCTTCTATTTAGTGCTTTTCGGCTATATTTGTAAAAAGTCAAGAACGGAGTGTTCTTAAAACAAATCTGAATCAAAAGTTTTGCTTCCACGCTGTAAGTTGTAGATCTAAATCGATTACAGGAAAGGTTACATTTCCATAAAAGTTAAAATACGATTGATATCACGTAAATAGTAGATTTGACAAATTTTTGTTCTGTATAACGAAAATTGTTGTAATGAGTACGTATTTATTTGAATAAAGTATTTTATTCTTAATTAAGAAATAACTTTCTAATTGTTTATTCTCCGTAACAAATACTTCGAATAATTCTGTTGTTAATATTGCAATTCGAAAACGTTACAAATTAAAGTCGAATCGGTTTTTTTTTTCTTCCCAATTGCACATACATATTGATACAGAGAATAGGAAATATATATCTTCAAGCTATAAGGCAATAACTGCTGCTGGCTAACGACAAAAGTGTAACAAAAATTGTGGTAGCTAAAACAAAGATCCCAGTTTCCAGACCAGCTTAAAAAATCTTGAATATAAAATTCAATTTTAGGATAGAAAAATCATTGGCGTACACTCATGAATGTGATAAGAAATGTGATAAGTTGTAAGGGAGATCATTTATAAAGAGAGGTAAAAATTAAATTAAAAGACTACCTTGGGTTAGCTCAGAAGTTACATGAATAGATCTAAAAATATTCGACTTGAGCACTCTATAAATATGAGGGAATACAATTCTAAAATGTAGATGGAAAGCAAACACAATGAGTCTTCAAGAGTAGGAATAGAATTAGTCATGGTTAGTAACATGGTTTTAAATTAAAGTAGATTAACTGTTGTTGAACGATTTTTTGTAAATCCATGCTCAACTTAAAAACAAATTTTCACTCCAATAATTTAGGAATATCATTTTATGTAGCCCTACCTCTGTAGCTGTGACTTAGAACTACTTATTTTTATGGTGTATACATAAAAAGCTCGTAAACTTGTTTAATAGGCCTTTCCCTTTAATTATAGATAGATAGATTCTCAAAATTGAATTTGATATGCATTTGCAGATGAAAATTATAATAATGCCTGAATTAGTCCTCACTTATTCCCAACCAAACCAATTAAAAATTGAACAAAACACCATTGCTATCTAGGCTTTGCCATCGCCAACTCACGCTGTGCTGGACAGCTCAATTTTTGAGGCAACATTAAGCTGCAACGCAACGTAATTCAACTCAGCTCAGCTCAGCTCGGCTCATTTTCCACTTGAGGCAACACACACACATACTATAGTCACTACATGCCTCATGTCAGTGCAGCTCATAATTATGCCATTGAAATGAAAATTTCTTAGTGGGGGGGTGCTGGACACAATTGAATATTTTCAACTGGCGACCACAACCAGCACGATGACGATGACGCTGACGACAATCGCTGGGGCGCCATCGCAATGATCAATGGGCGCTAATTAGTGTGTCCTCTGTTTTGGAAATTTTACACATGCCCCAGTCGTCGGTTCGGTTTGAGTTACAAGTGTCTGGGTTTTGGGTCTGGGTCTGGGGGTCGTTTGTCGTGTTCCCTGCTCGCCGCAGGTCATTTATTATTGTTGTTATGGTAGTCGACGTTAGCTGTTTGGCAGCTGGCAGCTAGCAGCGGGCAATGCTTGAATTTCAATCATTTTGTTGGCTCCTTCAATCCGAAAAGTCTCGATTTGAATTTGCGATAATGTCCAATGGCGACAAAGTTTTCGTTTGACCAACGCATAGTGGTACCAAATATTTAGTTAAAAGCGGACCTTTGTTCTATTCTTTTGAAAAAAATAATAAACCTTTTTCGATTCAAACTTATTGTACAAATTAATTGATTTTAAAAAAAATTAATAATAAACAAATAAAAAAAAAATGTTACCAAATATTTATGTAAAAGCTGACCTTTTTTCTATTCTTTCGAAAGAAATAATAAACTATTTTCTATTCAAACTTATTGTACAAATTACAAAAAATAATAAAATTAAAAAAAAAATGTAAAAAATAACAAAAAAGCTTAAACATAATTTATTCTAAAACAAGAGAATTTTAAACAGGTGTTGAGAATTTGTTTTAAACTAGTTGGAAAATAGCAATAGAAACCAATTTTTTTAATATTATGTCTTTCAAAATAAATAAATAAATATTTAGGTAAAAACACGATAATGTTATAATGAGGGAGCAACTATAACATATTAATACCACTGTATTGTAAAACAAGAGAGTCTTAAACATGTGTTGAGATTTTGTTTTAACATAATTGGAATATAGTATTAGAAAATAATTCTTTTAATATTATATCTTTCAAAATAAATAAATAAATATTTAGGTAAAAAAGAAGATGATATATTGAAGGAGCAACTATAACATCTTAATACCACTGTGCAGCTGGGTCGCTTGGACTCAGGACGCTGGGGACACTCTGGGGCGCTCGACTTGTCTGCAGTTTGTCAAAGCTCTGGCTGGTGGCAGTTGGCGCTGCCGCTGCCGCTGCTCTTCAAGGCTTATCTGCACTTGGCTGCCACTAAATTATGTTTTATCTGCATCTGTGTGTGTGAGTGTGTGTGTGTGTTGCTGCATGTTGTAATGTTGCTGCCCGCTTTGTATTGTGTTTGGACGCAAGCACCGGCGTCAGCGTGTCCGTCCGTCTGCGTCGTCGTTGCGGTCAGTTAGCCGAACGGCATGCATTTTGATTGATGACCCCAAAGCGCTAATGAGCAGCAATTAATAAAGTCATGGACTTTGTTGACCGCACAACGCATGTCTACGTATGTCTATGTGTATGTGTTTGTACATATGTATGTGTGATTATGCATGGCATGTGTAGTCGAGTTGGCGGTGTCTGACTGATTAATGCCGTATGCGATAATGAGGTTTTGACTGTGGCTCGACTAGTGTTTGTTTGTTTATTTGTTTTTGGCATCGGCCTCCTACAACTAATGCCTTTTGATATATGCGTGTGCGACGGGAAAGTAGTGTTGATGTTGTAGCCCATAGCCTGGGAAAATTTCGGGTAGCTTTATTGACTAATGTCGCTCTCACATACCATTTATTTGCATTCTCAACTTAGAGCTTGGGTTAACTTAATGTTTCTTGTTGGAAAGAAATTTCACATTTACAAAATTCCATACCATGACTAAATTTTATGGAGAGGCTACTTTTTTTTGGCATCCATAGGCATTGTAAGCCTAAAAGCCTCGAAATAAAATGAGCATTTACATTTAATTCGAGTGTTACGCTCTAAAATTTAGCATTACTTTTATTTAATTGCATATTTTTAGAGCGCATTATTTTACTCGATATTGGATTTGTTAGCTATTCTGAAATTCTTTTCAATTTGCAGCGGACATAGCTGGCCGATTGTAAAAACCAACTCCCCCACCAAATCGAAGGCGTTTATTAGACTTAAATATAATTAGATTGTCGACATAAAATCAAATATAAATAAAAAGCCAGTAAGCCACTAACTGCAGCTCCTGAATCCACGATTTTATTTAACAAACCTTGCATAGAGCTTGCAACAGATACTCTCAAGTTACATTGCCATTATCCGTTGCACTTTAAACTTTAACTCATTACCGGAAGAAGAAGAAAAAAACACACAGTCACTCAGATACATACACACAAGCATTTCAAGACACTTCATTCAATCAAAACAACTTGCGCGCTTGCCTAGATTTAAAATTCGCACAACATGCCAGAGCCATTAATCATTTCTGTGAGGCAGTTGGGGCGTCGTCTCTCCAGTAAAGCAGCGCGACTGAGACTTGATTCATTTCGGCAAAACAAAATGAATATTTTTCGTTGCTTTTCTTACGCAACGCTGGACACAAGATTGATGTGACATTTGTGTTGGCGCTGTAGAAATATGGCAGAAATATGGCAGCTCTTGGCAGCGCTCTTGAGGCTTTGCCCGGGGTCTGTTCCTCTCTCTAGCAATTGGCAATGAAAAATTCTAGCGCAAGCCGAAACGACATTTCAATTCGCAAAAGTGCTGCAGATACAACAGCCACAACAACAATAACAACAACAACAACAAGCAAGAACAACAACAACTGGCAGCGTTGACAGTGAGTGCGAAAAATATAGCGCTCACAGCATATTTTGGGTTAACTTTCTTCTGGCGCTCGGCAACGGCCATGGCAGACATTCTGGCACGCCATCTATCATTTCAGCTTTAAGGGTTGTTGATGGCCCTCATAAATTATTTTTGCACGCGCGCTCCTTCTGCGCCAAATTTTGCGCAGTGTATCTGAAGGATTTGTGGGGCTGTCGTGTCTGCAAGCGCAATATCGTTTACATAAACTATTCGCGACCAACTAAACGCTGCAGCTTGGCTGCACTTAGCCATCTGAGGATGTGAGGTCGGCGTTAAGGTGAGTCATGTCAACTGGAGCATAAGGAATAATGTGTGCTAATGACGAAGTGAGTTAACAATGTGCTTGTCTGGAGTACTGACTTCTAGCATTATATCGAGCTTCGAAATATTGACTTTGCATAACTTTTCTTAAAATGCTTTCAATTTGCACCGCAACTAGAATATCATTACAAATCGCGAACAAGCTTATAAATAGATTAAGATTTGGTGGAGTTTTTATAACAGAAAGGAAACAATTTGTAAAACAGTAGTACATTATTTAAAATGTTGGCTACTTTTAAAATCAATAAATAATATATTGCCTAAATGAAAATATAAATTATTAAATCAGTAATCAATATCTTGCCAAAATGAAAATATTAATTATTGATTTTAAAGGTTTATATGTTTGTTTTAGTTTTTATTGCAAAATGGAAACAAATTTAAAAAGTAGTGCACTATTTATATAATTGGGTGTTTTTAATAACAATAATGAACATATTAATTTAGTCTTAAGTTACAATAAACAATCGAAGCTCTTCTACATAATAAATTTTGTAATTTTTCAACAAGAACAAAAATCCAAATATTTCAATAATATTTATGACATGTTGTATCGAAAAATACTGAACCAACCAAAGCATGAACTGAACCTACATAGATGTTTGGATACGGTCGCTCTATTTCATTGTCGGTCTCTTTCGCAGTATACCTAATTCTGTTTTTACACGGTAGATTGGTTCCAGAAACAACCGTGTAAAAAAATACACTGATCATATGCAGAAAGAGGTGATTGCTTCCTTATCTCCAAAGAAATATATTTGAAATTTTTGATTTTTAAACCATGTTATAGCAAAATCGTGTAAAAAAAAGACCGTGTAAAAACAGAATTAGATGTAT